ATACATTATCCCACTTCGTCTCCCCGTTTGGTCGTTATGAATTTGTTTCTTCCCCAGAGAGTGTGATAGCGGAGTAGAAGAAGGTAGTGCCCAAGAAACCAGGTACGCATATATTCAATCTATTTCGCCGCCGCCGTCGCTTTGCTGTCGCCTTTAATCTCCCAAACCCTAGCTGTTCAAAGACCATTCTCTGATGGTCAACGAATGTAATCCATGGATTCATTGCATTCTCTCTCCAGCTGCTCAGTTACATTTCTCCTTTAAAATGAAATCATTCGTGAATGTTTTGCTTTGGACGCTTAATTCGCACGCACTGTTATCTGTAAATGTAGTGAATTGCTAAATTAGTTTGGCGGGAGGTAAAATTTCTGTATGTTTATGGAGAAGAGCGAAATCTAGCTCGATTTTGATATGAACTCGATAATTCATTAGGTGCTGAGTTAGCTTGGAATGAGATCAGTTGTTGCATTGGTGTTTGAGCATAGCTGCTTTAGTAGTAGTCTAAAGGAAGTTTATAATCTATTTAGTGATGATTTTTCTGTAGATGAATGTCTAGTATCTAGGGCCAGTATTGAGAAATGCTTCTTGTGTTCATTAGAAAGTGTAGGTATGATGGATTTCGAGGAAACTATGGATTTCAACAAGGGAATGTTATTTTCCTTTTGACTGTTATTAGTATTGTAAATTGTAATTGGTTTTTTTTTTTTTTTTTTTTTTTTTTTGGTGCTGTGTAGTTACTGCATTGGAACTTTGGAAGGCTGGAGTATCTGAACAGTTTGCAATATGTATGCAAGCAACAGAACATTTTGATTTAGAATTACACATTTTGCAACCATTCCATCGAATGTTAAGATGCATATGGTTGCGAATTTTTCAAGACAGCAACTTTTTGTGCCTAGAAGTTCACAAATTCTAATAAGAAGGTTAGAATTTCTAAACCAATTATTAAAATTTCATTGGATGTGATGACATTTGGGACAGCTGGTGCCTGGGGTCTACCACTGGATTTTAATTAATAGTACCTCTGTGTTTTATCATAGATCCGATGACTTTTGTTGAGCTACGAAAAGCATTGAATTGTTCGACGATTTTATTTTGCAATTTGCTTTTTGTGTTTCAGGAAGCTTTACCTTGAAAATCATAACATTTCCCAGCTGTCACTATGGAGTGCCAAAGGGCTTGTTGCACCTCATTCTACAAAAATGAAGGGATATGTGAATGAGGGAAGTTGTCAAAGGTGTTTTTGCTTTGGTTCTCTCTTTGATCTTAGTGATGTTGCAACTTCTGATTGGGTCCCTACTATGGACCAAATGCTTCTAATGACAAGTATATTCCTTACTTACATGGCCGGTGTGATTCCCTCAGAGAAGTCTCTAGCAAACACAGTAGAGAGAATCTCATATGATTATGTCTTCCCTAAAGAGACGTCCCTTCCGGGTAGGTAAGAGAATTATCAGACAATGGTTTGTTCTAAATGAAAATATTGTAGTCTTGCTGTTCTGCATTTGACTTGAGTAATTGCAAAATTTTCCTAAAATTGCAGTACAAAGAAGAATGAAGAAGACACTAAATTGCAGTTTGTTTGGGATGTAGTGGAAAGAAAACTTTCAAATTCCCTGCTTGCCCTAAAACAGGGGATGGAATTAAGCATTTCAGCCAATGAATATGAACAGAACCGTACAAGACAGCTTTCTAGTTTGTCTGCCATTGCTGAAGGTCCTAGGCTGCGTTTACTTTGGGCTTCTTTTCAGTTGCTCAAGAAAGAGGCAGGCACTGTCTCTATCATTGCCTTGTAAATTTATGTATTGACCATTATCAGCTAAGAAGCCAGATGAGCCATGAGAATGAGAGTTGCTTTTCTGCAGTCTCTGCATTAATCATGATCAGTTAAAAAATTTGTGCATGCCGACTAAATAATTAGTAGCCACTTCTCAGAGTTCATCTAATTATATTTAAAAAATTCCATCTGCAATATAAATATAGAGAGCACATGGATGTAAAAAATATGATAATTTTGTCCTTTTTTTTTTTTTAATTTTTAATTTTGTCTTCTTTTTTTTTTTGGTCAAGCATAATGAATAGAGGAAAATAGAAACATAACCATCCTTAAAAATGGGTTGCCTTCTTTGTTGATTGCATCCATCTTCCTTTCAACTAATGCAGTTTGATATAACTGTGTGTTACAGGTTGATAGTCTTTCTCAAAAATTGGCTACTGAAAGCTTGGACAAGTTGGCACTTTTTACTGAAATCATTCAAAAATCCAGCAAGCAATTATGTGTGACTTGGCTGGAGGAGGAGCTATCATTAGGAAAGAGCAACATTGACAGAGTATTTTAGAAAACTATCCTTTATTATCATATAATTTTTAGCTTATATTGTAAACAAATATAAATCCTATTATACAATTACTCTTAGATGTTTTTCCCTCTTATTATCAGATGTGTCTTTGTTCAATGGTTGATACGTTGGATGAGGATGGAGGTATTTTGCAGAATATCAGAAAGTTGGGCAAGGAGGACCTTTATGCAGAATTGGTATCTGTTATTAAATTTGGACTCATCAGGTTCTTGATATGATTATTGCTATTCTTGCTTATCTATTCTCTATTTAAGTGTTTGTTGATGATGCCTGCAAATTTTAGTTGCTCTTTATTGACTTGTCAATTGTTTGGAAATATAGAAAGTTGGCAAAATGGTCATTCACTCAATTTCTGAATCAGATGGAATGGAAAAAAAACAAAAAAAAACAAAAAACAAAAAAAACAAAAAAAACAAAAAAAAAACAAAAAACATAAGAATAAGAAGAAAGAAAGAAAGAAAGGAGGAATGTTAGATCTTTTCATGGCATTTAAAAAGGCTTGGAGAACATTAGTTCTTTTTCAAATGAATTTGGTGTGCATAGAAAACTTAAAATACTACCACTTTGAAAGTAACTTAGTGAAAAGTAACAATTATGTGACACTCATAAATTCTGGAAGCTAAATCATCGGCCTAATTCTGCTGGCCACCTGTCTTCTTTATGGGAGGAACATGCAGTTTGACTATTTTCCTGACTGTCTTAAAAGTATTCTTCAACAGGAGTGGTGCCTATTATGACCATAGCTTTTTCAATGAGCATGGGTTGGCCATATTAGAGGATTTGGTGATTACACTGGCAGAAGGGGCTGCAAGCATGTATTTGGAGCTTATTTCAGTTGATAGTAGAGTGTCAAATGAAATGAACAGTCTTGGTTTGAGTTTGTGTACTTTATCTACCCGAGAACTACAGAAATTGAGGAATGAGGTAAAACATTTCTCTAATACAAGTTTAAGGTCAATCGATATTTTCATCTTGAGAGCCAGAGAGAAAGTTTACAGAGTTTTCACCCCTTACTAGATTTCCTTGCTTTTTGTTCATGTGGCATTTTATTTCTGAGCACCAAAATAATCTGACTTGGGACATACCGCATACTCAACATAACACTATAACTATTCCCCGATTTCCTCACAGTTAGACTGGTGAAGAGGCAGAGGCTTTTGTATGAAACAGGGAAGGCATTTTGTTTGACTAATGCAGGGCATGTGTGATTGAAGAAGGATTTTAGATGTGGTTATGAACCACAAGCTAGGTTTTGAAGAGACTTAATTGTAAAAGCAATAAGCATATCAATTCATGTATGATTATGATTGGGTTTTATAAAGTTTAACCTAATTTTTAACAGGTGGCCATGCACAGGTGGTTGCGTCAGAACATGGAAGCAGTTGTATCAATGTATGAAGACCGCTTTGACTTGAGCACATTTGAATGCCAACCCATTGGGGAACGCGGTAAAAGAAAAGATGAAAACCATCATTGGTGGAAAAAGCTTGGTGTGATGAGATCTGAAACTGTAGCATCTCCCTTACATGTTGCCTTTATCTACCAAGTATCTATAGCTGTTAAGCGCACCAAAGAACTAAGGTCCCTAACTGGGTGGTACGTACAATCCTCTGCCCCATATATCTTCTTTGCTTTTATCTACTTATTATTGCCTTATTGGAGTTCAATAATAGACTTCAAAAATTTGCATGACATTTCCCATTAAAATTTTTACCACCACTGCATCACCGTTCAATTTTTTTTGTTTTATTTCGTTTTTCTAGTAATTCCTTTTGCTTCAAATTGATTGAAAGTTGTGTTCTCTATTGATTGTTAAGGATTAAAATCCATAAGAGCAGTGCATTAAGTAGAAGGGGCAGGTCTTTGGTGATCTTATGTATTTGGTTATCGACTTATCATGCTTTTCTTGTATATTACAGGAGATATTACTTCAGTCTTTTCCTTGAATTGTCTGATATCGCCATGCCCATGATAAGAACCGTCATAGCCAAGGTCAGCGATGCAATCTCATTCTTTCTAGTTTGCTTGATTGGGCGATCTCTGGGACTCATCTATACTGGTATAAGGCAATCCCTTAGATGGAGGTGAGATATGGAGTGCGCTTATTCTTTCTACTAGTGACTGGATCATTTTCCTCGTCATGCTGTACTCGCAAGAAAATTTTGATCATTGTATTCTCTTTAATGAAAATGTTTAGTCCTTAAACAACGCTTTGGCTAAATGCTTATGGAAATATCTTTCTGTTTATATTGAAGGGTAAATAACTTGGCGAAACTTATCTCATAAGCATAAGTATATTACAGAAGATAATATGTGCTCTGCATCATTTACTTGTCAGTCAATCTCTTTTGCTTGAGAACTTCTTGATGTACTAATGGATTCCAAATGGCTCGTTGTTTGCCACTTGAAACTCCAACTTTTTTATCTGGATAACATTCTCCAAACCAAATTTGAAAACAACTCTAAAAACGAATAAATCTTGTATGAGACCGTTTCATGTAAGACGTGTAATATGTAAGTCTTGTGTAGTATTATATATCTTATGTAAGACGGTTTTACACAAGATTTATGCCTAAAATATGTATTTTTACAAATTGGGTAGACCTCATTGTTTATCATTTGAGAACTAAGTTGCACAGAAATTGAGAAATGGGAAATCTAGGGCATGAAATGTACAAAGAAAATACATGTTTCTGAGACACAAACACTAGCCCTCAAGGGTGTGCAACATAGTTATTTAACAGATGAAATGCATATTAATAGATAAACATTATTAGCAGCTGGAATCACTACAATTTAGAATCAGATTTCTGTTGACTGTTGTGCTATTTGTTTCGTCATATGAACACTTCTTGTAAAGAATAAATGCTAATTCATTCCGTCAACATCTAAACCCATAAAATCCCATTAACAATATCATCTAAAGCAACATTAAATGCACGCAACCATATAGAATTTGTCACTTCACTGTATACAAACTTAAAATCATCCGTTGTGAGATATGGTCTTGAGTCTAACTAACATTCTCATCTTGTAAATGCAAATTACATGGCACCGATAAAATCCCAAACCTCTGCTTTCCTTCTTGCACTCTTCATCTTTACTGTGTTTTCTCCTTTGCCTGATCTCATGGGAAAATCAGACACTAAAACCGAACCATCAGCTACGGCAACAATGACCTTCACCCCAAGAAAAAGCCTTTATGCTTCTTCTTCTTCTGGTGGTGGTGGCGGGATGGAGTTTGAAGGCGGCAAGCATGAAGTTCCTAACGGAGCGAACCCGATATCGAATTGATGAATCGGTTAGCGTTCGATGATTTTGTTGCGAATAATGTTAGTTGCAGCGCCGACAGGAAGGTAGACAAAGATGGAAGACGTATCTGCAAACTAAATTAGCTTTTCAATGCTTTGCATGGAGGTTCGGGAGAGTCTTGTTTTGATCTTATTGTTGACGATATTAAAGATATTGCATGCATGGCAGCCTCTATTATTGTTGATTTGTATTTTTATTTTGCTAAACGATCAGCGAATCGGGTTGTCCATTTGCTTGTAGGGAGATCTGTTCTTCGTCTGATTATTGTATTGTTTGGTTTGATGTTCCTCCTTTATTATGAACACTTTGTTTTCTGATGATGAAATTTAGTTTGGTTGCTTTTCAAAAAAAATCTCTATTTCACTGAAAACCATATTTTGGATTGTCACGGAAATAATCAATTAGACTCCTCTCGAGTAGAAAAATTTTCAAAAAATATGTATGTAAACCAAAAACCAGATGACTATGATGGGTAGACTAATCGTTAAAAAGCTTTACAATGTTGTGTGCTTTATAAAATTATACCTTACGCTTTACCAGATGTACATAAAAAAAAAATATATATATATATATATATATACATAACTTTAGAAAACACATAATACACACATTAACAATATTAAAAATTTGTAATTTACGATATTGTAAAATTCTCCATTAATATTTAGGTGGTGAGCAAGCAAGAACTAACCATCACAAATTCTCCCTTATTAGCTTCCCAGATGCCTCCATTTTCTGCTGGGAATTTAATTCATATAAAGCAACTAAGCAAATCCCCGCCCTATCTTTCTCTCTTCTTACCCCTTACCTGAGCATGGCTTCCTCAGATTGATAAACGCTCTAAGTATAGATATATATATATAGTAAATGCCGAATCTTTGAATCCTGGTTTTTCGACGATACATTTCTTCTCTGTCGTGCGTAATTCAGGAATATGCATGCATGTGTATACATATAGACCACTGCACATTGCATTGGTCAAATTAAAGATCATCCGTTTCCAGATTATCTTTTCATCGGAATTTTTGAAGGTGGTTCATTCGCGATTGATTTTAGATTCAAGGATTAGACATCGAAGAATCGAGTTTCGATCTGATTAGGCATTACCTGTTTGGAATCGAAACGAATTGAAGGGGCTCCATCTCGAAGGCAGCGATTGTAGGGCTGATCATTCTGATTATAATACGGAACCGAGATCGATCAGAGGCATTATCGTTGGTGGATTTTGATTTTGATTTTGTCGATCTATCGGTTCTGGAAACATGAGCTGTTTTTCGTGTTTTGTATCTCAGAAATGGAAGGCGTCGAAGAGGATAAACAGCAAGAGAAACGGGGTTTCGCCGGCTGACGATAATGCTCATCATAGAGTTCGCTTTCCGAAGCCGCAGCCGCCGCCTCAGCGCGGTAATTGAGCGTATCGTCTTTGTTGATGAAGCTAGGGTTTTACTGTTTTAGAATTTGCCCTAGTAGCTCAGTCAATTTCTGAGTATCAAATTGTGAATAAGAACGCAAAATTCATCCTCTTGTGTGATGATTTCTATCGGGGACTAGTATTATTCCTATCACTCAATTATGTCCTTGAGATTTCGTTTTTGTGAGCTCAAATTAAAATTTGTTACTTATTCCAGGGGATCAGAAGGCCAATAGCGATGGAAGCAACTCCAATATTGCAGCCCAGACTTTCACGTTCAGGGAACTGGCGGCGGCGACGAACAATTTCCGGCAAGAATGTCTGATCGGTGAAGGGGGATTTGGGCACGTTTACAAGGGCCGCTTGGAGAAGACCAGCCAGGTACTAACATCAATGGAGTTCAATTCGTATATGTTTCTCCTAGCGCTATGATGTTTTGCCATGAATGAATTATCCGGTTTGTTTTCCCAATTGTCGATCAGATTGTCGCAGTGAAGCAACTCGACCGTAATGGATTGCAAGGAAACAAAGAATTCCTCGTGGAGGTCTTCATGCTCAGCCTTCTGCACCATCAACACCTTGTCAATTTGATTGGATATTGTGCCGATGGAGATCAGAGACTTCTGGTTTATGAGTACATGCCATTAGGCTGTCTTGAAGACCATTTATTTGGTAAGAAACTTTTTTCATATACATGCCACTAGCCCTGTTTGGTAAATGGCTGTTAGCTGATTTGGTTAATTAGAGAGTATAACTAGTTGATAACATTAGTTGATTGTAGAAAAGTGTTTGGTAATTAAGGAATACTACATGGTTTTTCTTATAAGTTTGAAAGCTTAAGTGAATATATATATACATTCATACTTTTTCTTCAGATCTTCCACCAAAGCAAGCTCCATTGGATTGGTACAAGAGGATGAAAATTGCGTTACACGCAGCCAAAGGCTTGGAATATTTGCACGACATGGCTAATCCGCCGGTGATCTACCGAGACCTCAAGTCCTCAAACATCTTGCTCGACAAGGAATTCAATGGGAAGCTGTCTGATTTCGGGTTAGCCAAGGTCGGGCCTGTGGGAGATAACTCCCATGTTTCTTCCAGAATAATGGGGACATACGGTTACTGTGCGCCGGAGTACCAAAGAACCGGCCACCTAAGCATCAAGTCCGATGTTTATAGCTTCGGAGTTGTCTTGCTGGAAATAATCACCGGAAAGAGAGCAGTAGATCCTTTGGGAAAAAGCCGTGATCAAATGTTGGTTAACTGGGTAAGTCTATTATAAAATTCCCGTTTACCAATCATAGACTTTTCCAATTTTTGAAAAATTTGAATCAAATTTATTAGACAATTAATTTGGTAATCATAAGATTTCAATTACGTACAATTTCTGGTGCGAGTTGTTTAATTACCTTCTTAGTTGAAACTGATCATATTTATCGACTAGGATCACAAAGTGAGCATTACTCAAAATGCACCTTTTGGTAGGGATTGCGGGCACCTAAGGATGACCATGGTTCTGTTTGAACCTAAGATTTCGATTCTGATTTATTAAAATCGAAAACCAAAATCGTCGGTTCTGGTTCCAGTTTTAAACCGGAGAAGAAAATATTTGAACCACCGATTTATCATTTCCTGGGACGATGAATCCACGGTTCAGAATTGGAACCAGTATGATTCTCGTACAAAAAAATGTACCAATTCCCAAGAGCTCCTTGATTTGCGAACTCACAAAAGAAGATTAATCTCAAGCACACTGACACCTTAATATAATAGTTGCTTTCTTGGTGTGACTAACAATATAAACTTTTAATGCATTTACAGGCCTACCCTATTTTTAAAGATCAGACCAGAGTGTTCGAACTACTTGATCCACGTCTGAAAGGGAAAGCGCCGGAGAAAAGCTTTAAGCAGGCAGTTGCAGTGGCGTCAATATGCCTGGAAGAAGATCCGGAAGTGAGGCCATTGATGACCGACGTGGTTAGCGCTCTCAGCTATCTCTCTGATGGGCTAGAAAAGGGATCCGATTCCACCGCCGCCGTCGCCGCCTCGCCGGAAGAGCAAGAAACCCGCGACAACGGAGTGTCTGCAGAAGAAGAACGCAAGAGAGCAGTTGCAGAAGCCATGGAATGGGGCGCCAATTCAAGAAACCAGTAATCGTGAGAGAGAAATTAAATCTGAGGGGTTGATATAATAATCTTGAGGGAAGTGATGAAGCCATGCATGCATGACTGGTTATGTGCTACAAATTTGTTTGGTTCCCGGCCGGCCTTATTCTGCCCGCTATTCATCGTCGCTCGCTCTTTGTAACTCTCCAACGTCGTCGGTCGCCTTTGATTCAACTCTCTGTGTGTTTATATGTACGCTTCGGAAGCCTTCTGTAATCATATTCATTCACAAATATAACCATTAGCAAATTTCTTCAACTTGTTAGCTGCACTATATCTTGTGATGGTGACCTAATCTTTTGGGTTGGGTAAAAAAAAATTGTAAACTCGATAAGAAAGTTAACATAATAGTCACCAGGACTATGTGGTCTAATGGTATCTGGGTTGGAC